GGTTAAAAATGATTTAAATAAGTCAAAAATCAAAAGTAGGTTTCCCCCTACTTTTTGTTTTTTGATTTAAAATTCATTTTAGTTTGATTTTTTATTTTTGACTTAAAAATTACTTTTTTTTAAGAGCAACTTTCACATATAGCAAACACAAAAAGCATATTTGTATGTTATATCTATAGTTTGCATAACTGCGCTCCATAACAAACTTTATGTTTGCTATGGCTATTTCGCTATACATATATACAAAAGAAGTTATGGCTATTTCGCTATACATATATACAAAAGAAGCAATTGTATAATCTATTTCGGTATACATATACAAAATAATCAATTGTATAATATGTGTTTGTATAAAGCGAGAAAGAGAGAAAGACAAAAGAAAACTGAGCAGGGGAAGATCGTATTTGTATAATCATAAGTGTATAGGACGAAAAATATTATTTGTATTTGTATATACAACTTTCTTTCGCTTTATACAAACACAAACGCAATGTATACATTTGTGTTTGTATAAAGTGAGAGAGGCGAATGAGAGTGACGAGCGAGATCTGGTAGAGGGGAACGAAAATATATGTATATATACAATTTTCTTTCGTTTTATACAAACACAACATTTTATAAATTTGTGTTTGTATAAAAGGCGAGAGAGGCGAACGAGACTGCCAGCGAGAACGAGAGTGGCAAGCGAGATTCCACCAGGGAGAGAATAACAACAGTTTGCTATGGGGAACAATTAAATCAAATTATATTTATAGCATTTAATTTAAATTAATAATTTACTATTATATATAATTTCTCCTTTTTTTAACCAATCCAAACGGGCTCTAATTCTAAGTAAGGGAATGAGGAAGGACTTAATGGGCCTGCTTTCTTGGGTTTTATTGGGGCAAGTCGGATTAGTGGACTATTTCACTAATTATAGTAGAACCTTCTTGGGAAACTTACATAAATATACTATAATAAAAAAATATTTACCCTTTATAGCAATAACATTTTTTTTTCACTTGATCACTTTAATACATTTATAATACATATTACAAAGAACAATTTATTATTCACATATAATACAAGTTTTATTGATGGATAATACATTTATCACGCATTTTAATACATTTATTATATATACAATGTGCTAATTTCTTACCAAACAAGCATAATATATTTTAAAAAATAGTTATAATACATATATATTGCATACATAATTCACTTTTAATACATATTACAAATTTACATAATATTGCTATAAATGGTAATAAATAAAAAGTATCGCTAAAATTAGTAAATATTTATTAAAAGGTACCAATATAATTTTTCCAACCTTTTTTTACATAAATACTCATCTGACGCATGTTCTCATTTTTTATTGTTATCAAACATAGCAAAATATATATATAACCACTCGAACAATTGGTAAAAGATTTTAAAACCTTTTTAATAAAAATATGATTTAAAAAAAATATTAATTAAATGATCGAGAATTCAATTCATAATGTTCTTATGTCCACTATAAAATAGCTAGTATAAGACATGATTCATCGTGTAGCAAATATAAATCTTAAGTTGCACGCGGAAACAAAATAAGTAAATAACAATATCATAATGATAATATGACATAGACATAAAGATATATGGTAGTTCAACTTTAACTTTAGAGAAGGTTTGAAACTATAAAATGCTGTCTTTTGTGATCTTAGGTTACTTTCTGTCTGCCAATTTAGTTATTAGTCAACTATGGAATAATTCAAAACCAACTTAATTTCCTTGTTTGATTAAAACGTCATCAAATTAAATACAAAATCCATAAAACAGTATTAGCAGCACGTGTTCTACGCAAAGCAATTCGTCATTTAATCGAATTTTAGTTCTAAAGGTAGCTACTTTTAATACCTACTATCAAATACTAGACATTAGTTTTAAAGCTATTAACATTTAGGGTGTGTTAGGTTAGGTGGAAAATACTTCTTCTTTTTTAGCTTTTTTAAGTTTAGTTGGTATAAAATTTTGAAAGATGTTTTTTTAAAAAAAATAAAATACAAGTTTTAAAAAAAATATGAATATGACTTTTTCTAGTGGAAGTAGGGAAAATAAGTTCCATTACAATGTTGATTAAAGTAGTATTTATTTTTCACTTTCCAAACACACCTCTTTTTCACCTCACCCTCCATCACCACCACTCAAGATCCTCACCTCTCATAGTATTTATCTAGATTATATATCAATATTTTAAAAATAATATTTTTTTTGTTCAACTTATCGAATATAGAAAAAAAATAAACAAGAGACTCCTTTATATTTTGAAATCAAATGGAATTCAAAAGATTAACAATAGGAACTTGAGGAATGATTCGCGTGTTTAAATTTTTTGTTGGAGTTTGAAAACCTAGGAACAATTCCTACAGTATAAATATTTGTAAGTTCAAAACCAAAAAATGATTTATACGGTTCAAACTTTTATAAAATTTTCCATATCTCAAGCAGGAGTATTTAAGTCCGAATTTTATTTCATAAGTGTGGCTATATTTCCCTCTTACTTTTCAAACGATGCCTAAAACTCACCCAAAAACTAACCGTCCCACCTAATTTTTATTGTTATCACGAGATTATCAAAAACAATTTCACATTCCATTACGTATGTAGAAATTGTTGCCAAAAGTTCTTGTCCAAAATCTCTTTAGAATCATGAAGTAGAATAACAACCATTCTTTTGTTTGAGATAAAAGTTAGGTAACATTATGAAAAGTAAAAAAAAAAGGTAACATAATAATCAAGAATTGGCAAGCAAGTAGAGACTGGTGGTGCCAACAGGTACATTTATGGGAAAGACTCCAAGTTAGTGGCTGTAATATTCAAACTTTTTTTTTCCCAATCAAAAGTACTTCTATTAAATGACGCAACTTCTTCAATCATGCTTCTCTTTTTTTTCATTTTTCTGTTTGTAACTTTTGAGGGAATGAATTACCTCACAACAGAAATTAACCATGTGGACTGTCTACCGTCATTATCCTAAGTCCTAACCTCTATTAATTATTTCAAACTGGGGTTGATGTAAAGTTCCGATATAGATTTACCCGATCTCAATAATTGGTGTTACTTTTTTAATTAAATACTAGTAATTAATTAGGTTTTGATTAATTGTTAGGTGTAGCGTGGCAATTTACGTAGTAAGCTTTTCTCTTATTGTGATTTTTCTTAGAGGAAACAATAATCCTCTGCATTATATTCAAGAAAAATAAACGACAAATCTTAATCCAATGATCAATTGATAAAATTTGATCATGTAAAAAGATATAGTACTATATATCTAGTATGCATTGGCACTTAAACTAAAGTTCCGGTTCAAAGTTTAATATCTGCCTAACACAGGATGGCAAATGGGCCGAACCGACCACTTGCGGGGCAAATCTACAAAGACTTTAACCGTTTCGTCTCGCACTATTTTTATGGTTCAAACCATAGTCTAAAAGTTCGAGTTGATACAATATGTGTACTGCGGAAATTTCAAAAATAATATAGACAACAATTTAAGATGGGAAATAATTTTTTAATATCATTATATGCGTACACCCTTTGATGGACTTTAAACATAACACATGACTAGCTACGTGTTTACCAAACTATAGTAGTACTAAATGAGCATACATTGAAGATAAAGTCGCAATTATTAATTAAATAATCAATGGTACTTTGTACTTGGTCATACTAAGAAACTCTTGGTCATGATTTGGATATGAAAAGGCCTCAAATCAACCATTAACATATATAGTTTCCGAATATAAATCTTTTAAGAAAAAAAAAAAACTGGATGGAATGGACTAATTAAAACCAAGTCAGATATTATAGTATACCAAATAAAATATCTACAACAAGAAACGTAAAAAGTTTGTAGACTGAAACAAGTGCATAATTACAACAATATACACATTAATCAGAGTGGAATTCAACATTATCTTTAGTCATGATGATTAAGTATAGAAATGTGTAGACCTCAAAATAAAAATAAAAAAAATTATGGAGGTTTTTGAGAAAAAATTTACAACTGCAATACTCAGTTTGGAATGATGATCATAACACAGAATTAAATAACCAGCAAGTCTTGAACTGTTGGGTTCTGAAGGGTGATTAGGGCGTCATGCGGAAGCTTACAATTGCATATAATATGATTGATAAATTAGATGACAAAAACTTATACTAAAAACTAATATTATTATATAAAAACTAATATAAAGAAAAACTATTAAAATTATTGAGAGATTAAATCTCCCCATAAACAAAACTCACTAAATACATTGTTGATTCTATTGGTTTTGTGTTAGAAGAAACAAACCTATATTTATAGAGTCCTAAAATCTTTCCTACTAGAAAAGGAGTCCTAAAAGGAAAGAATAAACCAAATATAAAATAATATTATATTTCCTTTCAAGAAGAAAAGTAAAAACATTTATGGTAATATTTTATTTTTTCTTTACGAAAAAATAAATCTTAAATTATGATAAGAAAATCAGGGCAAAACCCTAACATGAACCTCATAGTTAATAAGATGGGTAAGTCATTTAAAGGGTCCAACCTCCTCTAGAACCTTCGCAGATATTATAGATTTATCTTCCTTTCACTTTTGATAAGATTTCTTTATGAACTAACTTGGGCTAAACACCCGCCTAAAATTTAATAGGATGAAGTGAATTAAATGACATACGATTTCATAAACTAATTATATAAAAATTAGGAATTATTTCTTTTAGTTCTCAAATTAATGGTTCACTTTAAATTTAAATTATGTATTCGCCTCTCCTCTGATCGCTTTGGGTAAATATAGCCAGAAGTACCAAACTACAGAGGATAACGTGTCCTGTTCTTGTAATATTGAATATCGCTCGCTCATTATATATTTGACCTTTTGGATACCAACTTTCTGGGATTAATTTGCTACCATTATTTATTGTTTACATCTACTACTTTTTCTTTCTCTTCACTCTATTTCTCATCCACTACTTTTTCTTTTTCCTTCACCTAACTCTTACTACTATAATTGTTACCTTTCTACTTTCATATCTTTTGTTTTTTGTTTTCCACCTTCATGGCTAACTTTTGCTTCATCCTCGGCATAATTGGTAAGTTTCATATAATTAAATCTTTAAACACATAAAAATGTGTAAAGTTTGAACAATTAATGATAAATTCTAGTTTGTTAATTAATATGAAATCATTGTTTATATGACTATGTTTCTGCAGGGAATGTCATCTCCATACTTATGTTCGCTGCTCCAATGTAAGTCTAATTAATTTATTACGTTTTCTCTAGTCGATCGTATGCTTTGCCAACATTATTTATAGTTGTTGTAATTTATCCTTTATTTTTTAGGTAATATTTTTATATACTAATCATAAGGTGCATACCTTTTCAAATTAATTTTCATTTTTCAAAACAATGATTATTTTGCACCCTAGCTGTAACCAATTAAAATTGTCTCGAGACATGTTAAAATTCAATCTCGTAACCATATTAGATTCTGTAACGAATAGATAGTTTATGATCATGCTCTGTTTTCATAATTAAATTAAATTAAACTACGATAGTCGATAATACTTTACACATTTCATCCTTTGTAGTTGCAACATTTGGTTAATAAAAAAAAAATCCTCAACAATTATTAATATTTCAGAAAAACATTCAAAAGGATAATGAAGAAGAAATCAACAGAGGATTTTAAAGGGATACCATATATCACAACACTATTGAGCACATGTCTGTGGACATTTTATGGGTTACTCAAACCTGGAGGTTTGCTAGTGGTCACAGTCAATGGTACTGGTGCCATATTCCACATCATATATGTCACTCTCTTTCTCATTTATGCTCCCAAACCTCTTAAGGTAAAAAATAAAATAAAATGAAGTTACATAATTTTTTATCTCTTATTCATTTTCACTTTTTAATTCTTTTTTGTTTTGATGTAAATAATAATAATAATTATTATTTTCAGATTCAATCAATGAAATTGGTGGCAATAATAAATATAGCATTTCTTGGGGCTGTAATTGCAATCACTTTACTAGCTGTGCACGGAACCACTCGACTCACATTAGTCGGATTTTTATGCGCTGCTTTGAATATTGGCATGTATGCAGCTCCTCTAGCAGCTACGGTAATTCTTTTTTCTGCCTAAAAATTGTTTTTATCAATCGAGTTATTTATTAAATTGGAAATATGAACGGTTACCTAGGTTAAAGTACACGAATAATATCATATATGTAATATGTATAAGTTATTTTTATACATTTTTTTATTCTGAAGAATTGAAATTGAAGTTGTTAATTGAACATGTACAGAGGACAGTGATAAAAATGAAGAGTGTGGAGTACATGCCATTTTTCCTTTCCTTCTTCCAGTTCCTTAATGGAGGGGTATGGACTGCTTATGCAGTTCTTGTCAAAGATTATTTTATAGGAGTAAGTTTTCCTTTTCCTTTTTTGAATTTTTCTTTTTCTGAATTTTCACTTATTTTTTTAATACTACTATGTTTGATGAATCGTGAACCACATAAAAATGGTAATGAACTAACGCAACTAAAATAAGTGCTACACATAAATAAAAGAGTACACCTAAACTTTTCAAAGAAAGATTATTTTTGGTTAAAATTGTTTATAATTATAGAAAGTTGATAATTACTTTTTTTGGGATATATTAAAAAAGAAAATTGTTTCATATAAATTGGAATACAAAACATAGATTATATTTTGTCATCAATGTATAATTTGGTAAGTAAAATTATTGTGATCTGTGCTCTAGTGTATAACAGCCAGAGTTGATATATTAGTCGAGGTTCGCACTAACTAATTGAAATAATATCGTTAATTAAAAATAGTAGAAAATGCAAAACGATTGAGATGTCTGGACCCCTCCACTGATTTGGAGTTAGTACACATGTGCAATGCTCTTTTGAGTTCCAATTTTACATCCACCTCCTTTATAACCCACTAATTGGTTGGGGCCCTTTTTTCCTAATCAATTACTTCATCTGTTTCAAATTATTTGTCTGATATTAATTTGATATGAGTTTAAAAAAATTTAAAATACTTTAAAATCCTGGGTGTTAAACTATAAATATGTAGAATGTATCAAAATATCTTTTAATCTCGTGATTTTAAATATGTCATGTGGAAGTTGAAATAAAATAATTATCAAAAAAGGGAAAAAAAATGAACTAAAAAAAAGTTGATGGATAGAGTAATATTTATTGAAAAAAATATTATCAAAATGATGTATTTATATGAATAATATTGATAAATACATGTGTTTTGTTCAGGTGCCAAATGGGATAGGCTTCATATTGGGCGCGGCCCAATTAATCCTGTACTTTATGTTCTACAAGTCAAGCCCAACAAAATCGACAGAAGAAAAAGGCTCGGCCCATCTAATGAAAAGAGAAATTCAAATGAAAGATGTCAATGGAGCCCATGAAAATGAGAACAATAGAAATCTTCACAAAGGGAAAAGTCTTCCCAAGCCATCATTAGTTCGTCAATATAGTGAAAGACTAGTAAAGACTCTCTCAAATACCCCATCTTCTTTGGGCTCACACAATGTAAATGATATTGAAAAAGGCCTTAAAGAAGCCCATTAAATTTCTAATTGTATTAACGAAATAGGCCCAACTTTTTTTTTTCTTATTTGGGCCTTTATATGTTGTAATGATAGCCGAAGCTCTAAATCCGAGCTCGCTATTTTTTCTTCTTTTCTTTTGGTGTGTTTTCTAAATACACTATGGAATTTATGTAAGTTATACTAATATAAATAATAAAGTTTAATGTCTAGTTGATGATGACAATTTTATAATTTTGGAAAATAAGAGAAGTCTTATTTCAGTGTGTAATGTTGGTAAAATTATTACTTTTTGACAAATTCTATTTTCTCATATGAAATAGCAAAGACAACGCGTAGTGCTTATTTTTCTAATAATGTTAGAATTGAATACTAATTACTAAAATACAAGAGTTTGTGACCAGGAAGGAGTCAGAGAAGTTCAATATATATATATTAGTTGTCCCTTTCCATCTAGTGGATAGTTGATTAGCATTTAGAAAAAACATTTCTCCTACTAATTAACAATTGTTTAATCAGAGATTTTGTATATATTAAAATCAATTAAAATACTAGTTAAAAAGATCTGTGTTGATCCCACAAATCTTCACAAGGAAGGTCAAACATACTTCCTCCGCTCCATATTATTTGTCTACTTTTTCTTGTATACATCTTAAAAAAGTCATAAATAAATAAAATACTAATTTGTCTTTGAACTTTTTTTTAAATATACTCTATTTATGTGCATTATTCACCAATACCAAGAATAACATAGAGAGATTTTCTTAGAATTTTACAATTGCTTTTAGGGAAAAAGGTCTGAAATATATCCAAACTTTAATCGAAATTGTTGTAACGATACCAAACTTTGGAAATGACCTGTTACCCCCTGCACTATTTAATAGTGTATTTTAAAGGTATATATGTGCCTACTTGGACATCATAAATATTGCATAATTATAAATACCAACGTGTCCACGTGGGCACATATATATCTTTAAAATACACTACTAAATAGTGCAAGGGTAAAAGGTCCTTCATAAAGTTTGGTATCGTAACAACAATTTCGGTCAAAGTTGGAGTATTTTTCAGACCTTTTTTCCTTTTTTTTTTTTTACTTTCAAAAGAATTAACTTTTATAAGGATAAAATGAAAATAAATAAATTAATTCTATATTGATTTTATAAATTAACAAGTAATTTGAACATACATTTTAATAACGCGAATATGAGTATATTTTGCGTTGAAATCAGAGAAATAAGTGTAGTGCGCACCCCGTTAATTGAAGAACTTAAAAAATTGCAATTAGAATGAGGAGGAGCGTAGACTAGAAAGTTGTACAAATTAACATTGTAATTGTAATATAATATAAGTCACATGAGTTATGTGTACAAAAAAAAACTAATAAGAAAAACATCTAAGCCCTAAGGTATGAACTTTGAAATAATTGCCAATAGTATATGTTACTATCCAATAATAAACAATTATACATGCCAAACACACTGACAAAATGTCAACTTCTGAAAATATTTTTTTATTCTAAGATATTAATTATTGGAAACAAGTTTCTGTCAATTGTTTGTAAACTGTCTATAGCATGGTTATGACTTATGATAACTTTTTGCAACGCAACACTTTCAAATTGGAGTTTCAAAGTTTGAATAACAAACTCAAACAAGAACAATGAAAGAATTATATTTGATTTTCTTTTTGTGATAGGAATGAACAAGGAAGAACAACATTATTGAGAAGAAGATATTTTTGCCATATTGGACTGCATGGGTGGACTGTCATGTCAGCTCTAATGACAAAAAAACGTTTTAAGGGTATTTATTATCCAAAACATAGACGACAAGGGTAGATTTGATCCCAAACATAATTAAAGGATATAATGAGCTATTTCGAATAGTTCGAGGGTAATTTTGACCCTTTCCGTTTACTTAGTTAACTCTTTTGCGTTTACAAAGTTTCAGTTTCAAATCTCAACGAAGGCAAGGTAATTTCTTTCTAGAATAGATGGATTTCTCTAATATCTCTGCTCATTACTACATCAAAAATAGTTTTTAGTGGCTAAGTATATGTTTTTAGCAGTTATTAGTACTCTTGTAAATATCCATAAAGCTTATAATTAATGATATTGGATCCAATGACAATTAACTAATATAGGTAAATGTTTTAACACTCTTCATTAATATGTTAATTTATTACCGTTAAAAACTGTTTTTATCGTAGTGGCTATGAAAGATACCATGTATCTAATGATATACTTAATCGAGGTGTGTGCAAACTATCTCAAAGAATACAATTTATATATAAAAAAACTAACAACCTTTTTCATTGTTATTAAATAACTAGAAAATCCCTTAATTCTATTGATTAAACAACCAAGAAAATATATCGATTTCCCATTAGTGCATAATCCAAGTCATTAGCCTATTTATATGAAGCCAGAAAAGAAAATACTAGCTTCTCATATACAATAATTCTCTTTCTCTCTCTCTCTCTTGCACACACATATTTCTCCTGCTTCTCCTCATCCTCAAAGTGTCAAGATGGAAACTCTTCCTTTCATCGTTGGAATCATAGGTTATATATAATATTTCATCTCAAGTATATAATTATCACTGATTTGATATATACTTTTTAATGCTGAAATGTGTTATTTTTCTCCAATTTCAGGCAACATCATTTCAGTTCTCATGTTTCTTGCCCCGGTGTAAGTAATTAATTAGGGTTGTTTGGTTGGGAACAAGTTATTTCAGGATTAATTATCTTGGATTAGCTATATTGGGATAACTTATCCCATTACAACGGTATAAAATGGTGTGATAAGTTATCTCTAACTTGACAACCAAACAAGACTCCAAAATTTTATCCCTGAATTATTTTTTTTATCTCAAGACGATTCATTTTTATCCCTCACACTAAATGAATTCTTAGTTATAAGTTAAAATTGTTAAATTTTTATTTTTAATTTGCAGAGGGACATTCAGAAGAATAGTACAGAATAAATCAACAGAGGATTTTGATAGCCTTCCATACATTTGTACATTGCTTAATTCATCTTTGTGGACTTACTATGGAATTATTAAGCCAGGCAGCTACCTTGTCTCTACTGTCAATGGCTTTGGAGTCATCGTTGAGACGATCTACATTGCTTTGTTCCTCAAATTTGCTGATAAAAAAATGAGAGTGAGTAATAATTTAATTAATCACATAGTATAGTGCACTTAAGAAACTGAATTATTGCATCATGGGTGTGGAGTCAGAATTTGAAGTCGATCTCTATAGGTTCGAAATTTTTAGCCTTTCTGCATTCTAAATTTTGTATATATAAATGATTACTTTTGAGTTTATTTTGGAATAATTGACATGTTTTTTTTTTTGTACAAAAACAAATGTGACTATTTGGATTTTATTTTGGAAGAGCTTATTTTTTTAGCTAGGTTAAGGTTTAATGAGTTGAAACTATTTTTGAGGATTTCATGAAAGTTGAATTATGTACCTCCTCTATTAAAAGTTAAAACCGACACTAAACATACATATGCGGTTGCTGGTATAATCATATGCTCCATAGTCGAAACCAAGAGAATACATATATTATTTTTTTAATCGGTTTAAATATGAATAAAGACTTTCTCTTTGTGTTTAACAATTTTTTTAATTTTAACTTTCAGTATAATACGTTTAAAATTATAAGATTAATGAACATTTTAGTATATTTAATTATTTTTAAAACTCCATATCATATCAAAATTGACTAAACAAATTGAAATAAGAAAAGGACTATAGAGAAGTTGTTTTCAAATTGTGCGGTAATGATGCACCTGAGGGGCTGTCAATGTGTACATCTTTTTGTCGTGTTCTTTTTTGTCCACACAACTGGACAAGAATGACCCATCATACTTTTTTATTATCGAGAAAAATTAAGCACGAGGGGAAATATTTTCAACTACTTTTTAAATTATTTTTTGTGGTGAAAAAATTCACTAAAAAATCGAAAACTCATATTTATAATGAATGAAAAACTAATTTTTTTCTGTCCTCTTTTTACAGAAAAATACAGGCATCCTAGCTGGGATTCTGAATGTGGGGATTTTAGCAACGATTCTATTATTGGCGCAGTTCATTTTACATGGAGAGATGAGAATTAACGTTATTGGTTTCCTGTCCACATGTTTAAACATCATCATGTATAGCTCCCCTCTTGGTGTTATGGTAATTTCCCCGCTTTAATTTCCACAAAATAATTCTCCTAATTTTGTCAAATATCATATGCCTGAATTATGGTCTAAACGAAATATATACATAAAATAATGAATCCAAAATTTAAATGTTATGGTCTATATATGTTACGTGCTGAAATGTTTGTACTTGATTCTTGCACATATATATTTTCATGAGATAATCTCTAGCAATTTTTGTGATGGTACATTCATTATTGGTTAATTAGTTATTTAAATACCACCAAGTAGTATGGTGATGATATGGATTGAACTTTGAGCTTTTTGAAAATGGTGAAATTCTAAATAATAAATGGTGTGCTAAATCTTTTGTAAGTTCTACATTATGCAAATTTGAATTAGTCAGACTATCTAAATGTGGAATACTGAATTTATAAAACAATTCAGTTTCATGTGGGCTACCTTTTTAAAAAAATAAGTAACTCTTTCAATTTTTTTATTTTTTATTATTGCAGAAAACAGTGGTGAGAAGTAAGAGTGTTGAGTTTATGCCATTTCTTCTCTCATTTTTCTTTTTCTTAAATGGTGGCGTTTGGACATTGTACGCCCTGCTTGTGAGTGATTGGTTTCTTGGGGTAAGTTCTATTCCTCATCAAAATATATTTTTATTTTTTCGTACAATTTTTTGATGACATATTCTCCAAACACTTTAAAACTGATTTTGACATAAAAGGAATCTGAAATAAGCCAATCCAAGTATATTTTGAATAAGGAACACGAAGAAAATTTTAAATTCAGAAGGATCACGCATAAAGCGACAAGTGGCTTGAGACAAGTTTATGTAATCAATTTATAATTTAATTACCTGTAACAATATATTAATGACGCCCACTTCTAATTAAGAAACGAAGACTTCTCTTTTTAGCTACCTACAAGTTGGATTTATTATAATATTATTGTCTAGTATTTATAAATTACAAGTACTAATTAAGTCTTATTTAATTTACACACATATGCACGATAAATTTCTTTACACAAATCTTTTTAGTCTTATTTAATTTACACACATATGCACGATAAATTTCTTTACACAATCTTTAATTTTCAGATCCAATGATATTATTTTTTTCCCGTCTTAATATATGTGATTTTGTTAAGAAAGAAAGAAAGATTTTTTAAAAAAAAAATTGTGATCTAAAACAAGTGATAAATGTTTGTGTGACTATAAATCGTCTCATTAAAAATAAAGTTGACATTTATAAATTAAATTAGAACTAAATATAGAAGATTATGCCACATAATTGGAACAGAGGGAGTTGTTACTAGTTCTTTTATCATGAAGAAACGTTAAATCAATTAATCAATCGCCTTAAACACAAATATTTAGCAGATTTTTCAATAGAAGTATATATCAATAGCCTAGTGAAGTTGAATTACAAGTAATTATTAAGTGTATATAATATAATGTGATTTGACAAAAGGTACCAAATGGAATTGGATGGTTTCTTGGAGCAGTGCAGCTGGTTATATATGTAATTTACCGCAGCCCTAATTCATCTGTGGAAGATTTAGAACAAGGAGACCAAACGGAACGCTTGCTGCCACCTTCTTCCACCCCAACACTACAGTAAATATATACACCCAACACAATAAGTACTATTTGTTTGTTATTTCATTTTAATCTGCTGCGAGTATTAGTGTGACGGTCTATGTTGTTCAAATTCTTCTAAAAAAATCTATGAATGCGTGTTGAATCCTCTAAAAATAGTGTTTTTGAAAAGTCCAAACAAATTAGGTCACAATTACTTGGTAGAGGTCGGTATTTTGGGGGATACCATATTCTTATCTTCTTTGAATGTAACATGTACTATTTCATTTGGTCTATGGAAATACACTTGTTCATCTTCTTTGAAGTTTGAACCCAAAATCTCTAGTTTTGTGTGAGAGTTTTTGGTAAATTCGCTCGCTCAATTTTATTTTTTTACTTTTACATTTTTATTTACTTTAAATGGTGACACCGCTTATAAAAGATCCAATAAAATTAAACGATGAACTTACATTTTTGCATTTTAACCACAAATATTTTCTCAATCAAATATTGTTCATGCAAAAAGAGATATTTATATATTTTGGCGATCCAATAATTTAAAATTTTATTTCCAGGACAACTATAATGGTCGCCCATAAAGTAATTGCTTTTTACTGTCCTTTTTCTTAAAGATGTGGCAGATATGAATTTTCATTTGCTTAAATATGAGTATAATTAAGGATTAAATTAATTAATTCAATGTGAATTTGGATATCTTTATAAAATAATATAAATTATGATAAATATAATTTTAATTAACTGTTCATATAATATTAAAGTCAATCAAATTAAAAAGAAGAAGTAGTAGTAGTATTATGAGGAAATGATCAAAATGGTCCTTCCTGTATAGAGGTTGCTTTATTTTGGTCCTTAATATATTCTAGGTGATTGAAATAGTCCTTCATGTATGACAAAATATATTCAATTTGATCATTTACCCTAAACTTAACAAATTTGTCCCAAAAAATGTTAAATATAACGGTGAACTCCACATAATTTACAATTCCACTATTTTTCTCTTCTTAATTTATTAATTCAAAATCTAACACTATTTTATCAAGAACAAATGCAATACCACCCATATTAGCATTTACAATCACAAGACAGAACTAGCACAACATAGCATAACTTCACACAAAGAAGAACCCAAACTCATACACTGAATCTTGTCATGTTCATCAATCGCAAAGCCACATCATGAATGAATACACAAGTTACATAGCTACTTCAGTCAAAAATATCAAAAAATAAATCTAGTAGAACCCACTTATCAACAACCAAACAAGGACGATACCAAAAATTCACAGCAATAGCCCCAATAACATGAAATTCAAGAATCCCAATACACAAAGTAAAACTTGTTCTTGATTACCCAAAAAAATCTCCACTATCCCACATGTTGACCTTTTTGGAGAATTAATCACTCGAGACAATTTTAAAAAAAAATAAACAATAAACAAAAGAGGATTATAACCAAAGGAAAGAAATATCAATAGATTAACAAAAGCAATCATGTATTTAGAAAGTACCAAGAACAACGTAAATGCAGATATTATACCATTCAATTCCTAGATTATACAATTAACTTAATTTTCTATCTTGGTTACATTCTACCGACATATGAAATTCTTGATGATCCATTTCATTCAACCTTTTTACAATAATTATTTTGTGAATTGTGTGGTTAGATGTTAGAGAAAATGGTCATGAAACTTTTTCTTTGAGCTAATAAAGATGGTAAAAATGGTGGATTTTGTAAGTTATGTGGGCCCCACAGTTATATTTAACAGTTTTTGGGGATAAATTGTTAAGTTTAGGGTAAAAAACTAAATTGAACACATTTTGTTATACATGAAGGACTATTTCAATCACCTAAAATATATTAAGGACCAAAATAAAGTAATCTCAATACATCAAAGACCATTTTGATCATTTTCTCTAGTATTGTGGACCAGGAAGAATAGGTGGAATTGTCAGAAAGAGAAATGGGAAAGGATCAAAAGATCTGAAAAATTTATAAATATAAAGAAAATAGAAGAGAAGAAATTGTGAATACCACATTTCAGTTGTTAGAGTTGACAACATTTTAATAAAGAGTTACCATTAAACCAAAAATGATCTTTTAATGATGATTAATTAATAATTATAATTTAATTGTTACTAAATATATATTTTTAAAGTCCATTATTAATGTCAATTACATTATAGCACTATTCTTAATAAATTTCATTAGAGCCTACAATAACATTAAAATCAATGACAATTAATAAATATCGATAAAATTTCAACGTTCTTTGTTAATGTACATATTTTTTGGAGCTAATTTTTTTTATTTATTAAAAAAGTAACGACAGACACAGTACAACAACAGCTTAAAACATATACAATTCAACATTGCAACCAAAAGATACTAAACAAAAATAACTTTTAGCGGCAATAAATAAACATATTAATAAAGAGTGCTAAAGTCTTTATCGGCATTAGTTAAGTGCCATTAGATACAATATCGCTAAAGACTTTAGGAACGACTGTTAATTACCGCTAAAAGTATATATTTACCGACAATTAAGAATTTATTGCCACTAATGCTCATTTTTGTTATAGTGAGAGTCATTTCCAGAAATTATTAAGGACCGTACGTACATATATCATGGCCCAAATAAAACCATATAGTTCAAGATAGTACTTTATACATTATAAATCATATATATTTAATCAACTCATTTGCTTTCGTAAGAAACAACTACTCGTCTACTACACTACATTCGTAGATGGTATATATACCATCCTCACACCCAGACACACACAATTGTGCTCTTCTTCCTAAAGAGTCAAGATGGAAAATCTTTCTTTCATCATTGGATTCTTAGGTATTACTATTTCATCTTAAATCATTCACAACACTTTTTTGCCAAGAAAGAACCATTTTGGGATTAACATCTTTAGTCAATTTTCTCTTAATACAAATGTTCTTAATTTTTAATTTTTTTTTTGGCTGAATTGTGCTTCTTCTTTAAATTTTTGGTAGGTAACATCTTTTCAGGTCTCGTGTTTCTTTCCCCAGTGTAAGTAATTTACAATACCAAAAAAAATAATATCAATTTATGAGTATAATTTAGTTAAAATTGTCAATTCTTTATATTTATGGCTCTGATCCCTTTTGTAATAAACTTTTAATTTGTGAAAAATGTGCAGAGGGACATTCAATAGAATAGTAAAGAATGGATCAACAGAGGATTTTGATAGCCTTCCGTACATTTGTACATTGCTTAATTCATCTTTGTGGACTTACTATGGAATTATTAAGCCAGGCAGCTACCTTGTCTCTACTGTCAATGGCTTTGGAGTCATTGTTGAGACTATCTACATTGCTTTGTTCCTCAAATTTGCTCATCCAAAAATGAGAGTGAGTAATCTAATTAATATCATAGTACATTTGCAAACTAAATTGTTCGCACATCCAAGATTTAAAGTTTATATGTTCAAAATTTTAGTCTTTTTCATTCTAAATTGATAATTCGTACATGTTAAATAATTTTTCAAGACATAAGAATTTCAACCGGTGCAATTTATGTGAAATATAGCCATCTTGACAGATCTATATGTTCTAGTGATCTTATTTTTATTTTTTTTCTAAAGATGCATTTTGATTAGAGAATGATTATTATTGAGTTTATTTTTGAAAAAATTGCTATACTTTTTTTTTTGTACAAAAGAAATGCAAGAATTTGGAAGAACTGTTTGGGAAAAAATTTATCAATATAATATTTACTCTGCTTTTGTTAGTTGAATAGTAATTTGGAACTTTTTTTCTAAAAAAAAAACAATTTGAGGCTTTCATGAAGGTGGAATTACGAACTCTGTTAGATTCGACAGTCACACATATAGTTGTTAGTAATATTAATTATAGTAATTAGTATATGGTCCAATTAAAAAGTAAATAAACATTATTGAAGAAAATATTTTGTGGCAGCAGAAAAATATTTAGAAGTTCTTTCCAATAGGCAATAACTATAGTTAAGCCAATAGGCTGTTGGTCCTGTTATTTTGTGTCCATACAAACTGGAATTTTACATTCTGCTCCAGAAATAACATTCAAAATTTTCATAAAGAAAAATAATATATACATGCACAAATTTTTGGAAAATTTTATATTATACAGCTAGACAAAAGATAACAAGTGAATCGTTCGATAGAGATAATAAACTTAGAAAAATAATAAAAAATACTACATATAATTATTATATTACAAGAATTGATTTTAAAAAGTCAAGATCTTCTAATCTTGATAGTGCTCTAAAAATGTTTCCTCTCAGTGATGGATCGAGAAAAAATTAAACGAAGTTTTATGTTTGGATTAGAGACACACCCTTATATAATTCTTTAAATATTTTTTTAGGTTTAAATCGTACTTTTTTAATAACCTCCCTTTGTAATAACTATACATTTATATATAAACTGATTGTCTCTTCTTTTTTTTTTAATTACAGACTAAGACAGCCAGCTTAGCTGGGGTTCTGAATGTGGGGATTTTAGCAACAATTCTATTATTGGGGCAGTTGCTTTTACATGGTCAAATGAGAATTAACGTAATTGGTTTCCTTACCGCAGGTTTAACCATCATCATGTATAGCTCCCCTTTTGGTGTTGTGGTAATTTGCCTCTTTAATCTCTCAAAAATGTTTTACGTAAAGTATGTACGAATTTAAATGTGTTATGAAAAATAATTAATTACAGAAAGCTGGTTTACTAATTTCATTTATATTAATTATTATTATTATTTTTAAACAGAAAACAGTGGTGACAACGAAGAGTGTAGAGTATATGCCATTTTTTCTATCGTTTTTCCTTTTCTTAAATGGCGGCGTTTGGACTTTGTACGCCTTGCTTGTGGGTGACTGGTTTGTTGGAGTAAGTTTTCTATCATCAAATATTCAATACTAGTCATTTATTAGTAGACAAAAAATCTGATGATATTTATAGTTTGCAATCTACATCACGTTTCTGCACGACAAGTAATTAATGTAAGCATTTATGAGCTGGGATCAATGCAAGTACTATACATGTCATTACTTGACATCGATAAAATGCTAATCTTCTTAATTTTCTATAAGTTAAATAGTCATAGATTATTAGTACTTTCCAGCCTAACAACATAGTTACAACCTATTATTAACCCAACTAGGTAAGTATTATAAGTGAATCATATTTTTTAATTTTTCATTAGAGTTTTCAGGTTAGGAACAAATGGACTTTCTATATATAGGACCATTTTTATTATAACATGATGAATTATCTCTATTTTAGTAACTTTGCCCAAGTTACTCGAGATTCTCAATTATTATGTTTTGTCACGTTAGGAATATCATGAAAAAATATAGTAAAGTGTTGGTCAAAATTTTTATCGTTTGATTCTAAATAAAGAAACTATTATAATTAAGAGTGGACAGAGAGAGTAAAATTTAAGGCTAGAAATAAAAAGATATGGGACAACTATTTTTGTTTATTTCCTTTTTATAAAAAAAATAAAATTGTTAAAATGTAGCAAGCAAGAATCAAATCAAGGACCTTAGTGTCACGGACTTAGAGTTCTCACTAATGTTCCGTGCGGCACTTGACAATTTACTCACGAATCTTTCACGATCTTGTAAGCTCAAGTAAGCCTTTACGACTAAGATCGCTAAGAGAATGAAAGGAAAGACTTAGAGAATTTTGGAAGAATGCTTTATATTGCTTGGAGAATGCTTTACACTTTGTTGGATTGCTTTCTTTCTTTCTTCGTGCCTAGCAAATGAGGGGCACCTTTATTTATACTAACACCTAGGGACTAAAGTGCAATTTAAAATTACTTTACAAGTCCATAGACTATTTACACTTTGATCCCTCTCTAGAAATCTCTACACTTTCTAGGAATTTCTAAGGTTTTCCAAGAAAATATCTAAGGCATTCTAGAGAATTCTAAGGAAGGACCTAGGGATTTCTAAGCCTTCTTGAAAACTCTAAGGGCTTCTAGAGTTCTCTATAAACCTCTCCATAACTCTAGACTCTTCCGCCCCTATCCGACTGCAAAATTTGATTGTGAAGTGGCGGGACGTGGCATTAGGCTCTTAAATGAGAGCGCTTACCGTTGGACCACAAGCCTTTGTTATGTTTAAGGGTGTTCATTTATTAATATATCGACATAATAAAGAATATTTTATCTATATACACCATCTAATTTTTTGGCAAATGATATTCGACTGACCACCCCTGTACAGTAGTCAAATTTGATGATTTTAGTCCTAATTAAGTTTAATGACTGCTTAACTATATATATGATGCAATATTGTCACAAATCACAATAGGTATCAAATGGGACGGGATGCTTTCTGGGAGCAGTGCAGCTGATTATTTACGTCATTTACCGGAACCCTAGTTCATCAAAACAATTAGAGGACCAAACGGAGTGCCTGCTACCACATTCTTCCAGCTAAAACTCAACAGTAAAAACATAAGGTTAATTATTTTATGCTGAAGCAAAGAGATGTTGGTTGTTGAACAACTCTATTGCTAGCTGTAACATGAAATGAAAATTATATTATAAGTTTTGGTTATGCATTAGTTAATTAATGTTTTCAAAATTTTGGAAAATGACTATTTATTTGTATGTCATTAAATTCATATGAGTATAATGTGAGTTTTAGTGTCACGGCCACGAGGCACCTCATCATTAAGATTAGTATCTTTTGATATAACATTTTTCTTATCTACAGTACTCCACTTTAAAGATAACATATTCTATACAAAATCTAATCGAAAATCAACTCAAATTATTAATTGAGTGAAATGAAAAAAGAACTTGACTAATAATTTGGTTTGATTTAGTATTGAGAAAAAAATTCTAACTATACTTAGGTTGGTTTGGTTTTAATTAAAAAAAAGTCAACCTAAGTATAAAGTTTATTTTATACATAAGATTATATACTTTGATATAATTTTTAAATATTTCTTATACTTTTTTTATCTTTTAACATATTACAGTTCTATTCATTGCTAAAAAGGTTGAAAAGAGGTCCCCTCACACCGTTATGTTCTCGTTGAGTGAATCACTGACACTATTGTTTTTTATACCGATATACTATTGTTTCTTGTTTTTTACAAATTAAATTATGTTTTCTTTACTTATTTTAATATTTCTTTTTTTGAAAACATGCTTTAAACTTTGTTGTTTATTATTTCTGTAAAGTTAATATTCTAAGTATTTTACTAATACATGATTAAATATTATTAAAATTAGATTATGTATTTTAAATGTCTAAACTAATGTAAAACTAAAGAACAAATATTCAATGTTATTGTCATTCTTAGGGTTGAATTATTATTTTGTGTTAGCATTAGTATTGATTAGATTTTGACTTCAGCTTTATCTGAGTTACTAATATCTATGGATCAAAATGCTAACTGGTTTCTTGGAGTAAGTTTTATTTTAACATCCTCATCTTATCTTTATATAAGTAGTAGAAGATAAAAGATATCATGATCAAATTAATTGTATCGTCCCCATCCTCCAACACATCTCATCTCCATCATCTCACACCCCTACCTTCCTACCCTAATCTTTTATAATATTTGTATAAATTAAAAATAAATAATTTTTACTAACTTACCAAACAAACAAAAAAAAAAACTCATATTTTTTTAGAAAACATATTTCAAAACCTTTGTACCAAACACAGTCTAGGCCACTTGTAATTGAAAAAAGAAGACTTCTCTTTTCAGCTACCTACTGGCTACAAGTTGGATTTATTATAATATGGTCTTATAGTATTTTTGTAAATAATTACAAGTACTTAATCTTATTTTCATACGTATATATACACAATATATTTTTCAGGATTCAACTATATTAATTACTAGACACAATTTGGTATCACAAAATAGTTCAATCAATCAACAACGCCTTAAACACGAATATTTGGCTAATATACATGGATAACCTAATTATGTTTAATTACTAGTAATTAACAACATATAATGTGATTTCGTAAAGGTACCAAATTTTATGCGATGGTTTCTGGGAGCAGTGCAGCTGGCTATATATGTCATTTACCACAACCCTAATTCATCAAACTTGAAAAAAATTGAAAAAAAATATTTTTTTGCAAAGTGAAAAATGATATGAAAATTTAACATTACGGTATAATTATATGTTGAAACAATGTGATGACGAACAACCCTATTGATGCTAGCTGTTAATGTTTTTCAAGAATTTGAAAACATGAGTATTTGTATGTAAAATATGCTGCGAGTTTTAGTGTCACGGCTACCTCATAAAGGTTTGTACTTTGTATTATTTATAATATAAGGTAGCATGTATTATTTCATTTGGTCTAAATTGACATGTACAAAGTCGTCAACTGCCCAAATTGACATGTCTGGGCCAATTACAATATGCAAACTTAGCTTGTCACATTGTCTTTGTAATAGTCTTGATCAAAGTCTTGCAAAAAAAAGTTTATATATCTACATTTGGACTGTCGACGTACCCCTACAACTATAATTAATTAAAGGTGTTGCACATTATCTCTACGAGATTATTGAAAATTTGAGAGAAGGCATCCATAACTTTCTGGAGGCATTTCCCCAGAAGAGATTAATCAAATGTCTTCCTCAATCTTACGTGTTATATAAAACAATCCTCCTTTTTATTGATGAATAATGATGATAACTAGTCTGCATATCAAGAAGAGTTCATCATTCTTCCGTGATGAGCTGAAAGTCTTCTAAACCTTAGTATTTATGATCAAAGCATTGTTCCGCATTCATTATTAAGTTCAAGTGTTCAACTAATATGTTTATCAAATTGCTCATGTATGGATTTTTTTTTTTGGTTCACCGCTCATGTATGGATAATGGGAGCAATTCCTTCCTTCCTTTGGAGTTGTAAAAAGCCCAATGACGCTGCTATGGACTAGCCCACTTGTCCAAAGACAGGGAAATGGTCCAATTGGTTTGGTCTCTATTCAATTTGATAAAGTTCTCCAGTTAGTTGCATCCAACCCAATGTATTTATCCTGATTGGACCCATAACCTAAACTATTTACCTGATTATATATTCAAGTGGTATTAAGGAGTAACTAAGTAGTGTTTTCACTGAAGCACTGCATATTCTCTTTGATACCATCACAGTATATATATATATATATACTATGATAGTATCAAACGCGCATTAGTAATTAAAAATAGATGGTATGAAAGTAAATAATAGCCGTTTGTAAATAGTTTCCCTTTTGGTACAAGTGTTCTTTTCCCTTTGTTTCTATCCAACAGAATTAAGTTGATTTTGGCCGTTATAAAATTAACATCAGATTGTTCTTTATTAATGTGTTGTGCTTTGGAACTGCACTTAATCAAAGTGCGTTAAAATCCCAATTTTATAATAGGTCATTTACAGTATCACGGATTTAAATTCAATAATTAGGGAACAATTGCTGTCTAGTTTGTTATCCATTCTTTTCCTCTTCGAATATGTAAAATAACAAATATTTGTAATAACATATTTTATACTCGGTAACAATTTAACTTTAAAATATTCATTTTAATTTCATAAAAATAATCTATAATCACAATTTATTTTAGACCACAAATTTAAAAATATTTATCTACTATCAAGTCAAATTATTAGGACGGAGAGAGAGTATAAATAAAATAAGAGGAAACATGATAAAAGAGAAGAGGTAGATGATACAACAACATTCCCATTGCCACGAAGTGAGCACGTGTATGTAGGTATGTTTTGGTCCAAAATGATCGTGCCCGCCGCGCCTTATACACAAGAAAGACAATAGACAACACAAAAAAGAGTTGCTAATTTGAAGATTTCAACTCTTTTGAATCTTCTTTGGGCAGTTGTCACATTTTTATTCCAACCAAATATATATATAATATATTGAAGAAAAGAATGGAGGACAAATAAAGAGAGATAATAGGAGAATAGACGAGCATAGCACGCATCCAATTACCCATTTTTTCTACCTTCATTCTTAAGCCTTCCTTCACCTTTTTCTTCCCTTATCATAATAATAATAATAATCCATTTTGCTTTTTCCTACTTATACGCAATACCCCCTTTTTCTTGTTTCATCTGTGGGTTGTTGAGTAAGTCAATTACATTTGGTTCATGTCACAAAACTTGTTTAGATTGTTGAAAATATGGAGGGATTGATGGAAAAAGGGGTATTGGATGATATAATAGGGAGGTTATTAGAAGAGAAGGGAGGGAAACAAGTTCAGCTATCTGAGGCTGAGATCCGACAGCTTTGTGTTAATGCCAGACAGATTTTCCTCTCTCAGCCTAATCTCCTCAGGATTCGTGCCCCCGTTAGGATCTGTGGTATGTTTCCAATCTCATGCGTTGATGAATTCTATTAGCTCGAAGTGATTGTTTGTCTTACCATCTATATTTGTTGTTGTATCATTGCACCTGTTTGCTTCGAGATCTATTCTATGATGATTAAGAAAAAGTTAAAAATGGAGTTTTGTTGTGACCGAGAAAGCTATATATTTGATTGAAAAGATTGATGTCCTTTTACAAAAATAAGATAGTAATTATTTGATTTAAACTTTTGCATATACAATGAGCAATTGAAGGTGAATTTTGGTTTATTACAGGATAAGTATACATAGATAGATAGCTATGCAATGCTAGAGTTTGGTTATATAGACAAATTATGGTTTACTATGTAGGAAAACTGATGTAACAAAATTGGGTAAATTTGACCTCTTAGCTAATAGACTTGCATTACCAAAATTCTAGTGTCTGTGAAATGTTTGATCATCTCAAATGGAGTAATTTGTGGAAGCCCTTTATCAGATTCTTGAAAATTTTTGCTTGTGATAGAACAATTAGTTTCTAATGGGATGTCATAAATGTTGCTCGTCATCTGCTGGTTAATGTTCTAGTGAGTTTATTGTTTTCCTTTTCCATTCTTGCAGGTGACATACATGGCCAATTCCAAGACTTATTAAGACTTTTTGAATATGGAGGCTATCCTCCTTCAGCAAACTACCTTTTTCTTGGAGATTATGTTGATCGAGGCAAGCAGAGCTTAGAAACAATATGTTTGCTCTTGGCTTATAAAATAAGGTATCCCGACAAGATCTTCCTCCTTAGGGGGAACCATGAAGATGCAAAAATCAACAGGGTCTACGGATTTTATGATGAATGTAAACGGAGATTCAATGTTAGGCTATGGAAGATATTTACAGATTGCTTTAATTGCTTGCCTGTTGCTGCACTTATAGATGAAAAGATCCTTTGCATGCATGGTGGGATTTCGCCAGAGCTAAAAAGTTTGGACCTAATAAACGAAATTGAGCGGCCAGCTGAGATTCCAGATGGTGGCTTGTTGTGTGATCTGTTGTGGGCTGATCCTGATCCTAGAATTAAGGGTTGGTCAGATAGTGATCGAGGTGTTTCTTGTACTTTTGGACC